CCCCCCATGTTCATCACCCTCTACTTCATAGTCACTCGCCTCCCTGACTCCCTTCGCTCTGTCAGGGACCACTTCCTCACCCTCGACCCCACCTCCCTCACTGTTGACCCCACCTCCCTCACTGTTGACCTCCTCGACCGCCGGAGGCGCTGGAGCTGGTGTAGCTGAAGTTGGAGGCCCTAGTGCAGGAGGCGCTGGAGCTGCAGGAGCTGGAGCTGTTGACCCTGGCGCTGGAGGTGCTGGAGGCACTGTGCGGCCGCGCCCGTACTTCGTTCCCCTGCTTCAGCAGGTTCTTGGTGTCCCGTCTTCTACTGTCTTCCTCCTCCCTTCCTGTGTCCACCGCCTGACCAGTCGCAGCCGCCGTTACAGCCAGCCTCATCACTGCCTGTTCCCTCTCCTTACACTTAGCAGTCTGGAGGTCTTATAGAGCGTCGTGAGCCTGCGTCTCGTCCTGTCTCGCCTGTTCGCACTGCTCGTCGCGCTCCTCGTTCGCGTCCTCCTCCTGTCCCAGGCACGCACACCATGGCACTCCGTCCTTCCTCTGTTCCACTGCATGTTCCTCTGCCTACTCCTCCTGAGTCCTCTCTTCCTGAGGTCCCTGACCCTGAGTCTGACCGAGCGCGTGCTGCCAGTCCCACTGTCGCTCATCTCCTTGCCACTGCTGTCACTGACCCGTCCTTTGAGTCTGCTGCTGCTTCTGCTCTCGTTGTTGAGCTACTTGACTTTGCTGCTGCCTGCCGTCTTGAATACGCCTCTGCTCTAGTTACTGAGTCTGTGCCTGCCGGTCCTCCGTCCGTCAGGGGTGAGTGTGCTCTTGGCACGGACGTCCTTGAGGACAGGCAGGAGGACTTTGAGTGTCTTGCAGCTGCTGTACCTCGTTTCGCTTCCTTGCTGCTTGCCCCTGAGGGAGACCCGGATGCTCCAGACATCCCGACCCCGCGCTCTTACGCAGAGGCGATTACGGGTCCTTACTCCTCTCAGTGGCAGGCAGCTATGGATGCCGAGATGGCATCCTGGAAGTCCACAGGCACTTACGTCGACGAGGTTCCCCCACCTGGGGCGAACATAGTCGATGGCATGTGGATCTTCAGGGTGAAGCGGCCGCCGGGTTCTCCGCCTGCCTTCAAGGCGCGCTACGTTGCTCGAGGTTTCAGTTAGCGACAGGGAGTTGACTACTTCCAGACCTTCTCCCCCACCCCGAAGATGACTACTCTTCGGGTGTTGCTGCACGTAGCTGCTCAGCGTGACTACGAGTTACACTCCCTGGACTTCAGTACAGCCTTCCTGCAGGGCAGCCTGCACGAGGAGATCTGGCTGCGCCGACCACCTGGTTTCACTGGGTCGTTTCCTGCAGGTACCCAGTGGAGCCTCCGCCGGCCAGTCTACGGCAATCGCTAGGCGCCTCGCGAGTGGCACGACACACTCAGGACTACACTTGCGGCTCTTGGGTTTGTTCCTTCTACAGCAGACCCGTTGCTGTTTCTACGCACCGACACGTCGCTGCCGCCCTTCTACGTCCTAGTGTACGTCGACGACCTTGTCTTTGCCACGGCTGACACTGAGGCACTGACCCTTGTGGCTGCACAGGAGCTACGCTGGCTCACCTACCTGCTGACCGACTTGGGAGAGGCGCCTCGTTCTCCTCCGGTTCTGTACGTCGACAACAAGGCCATGCTGGCCTTGTGTCAGGAGCACAGACTGGAGCACAGAACGAAGCACATTGCTCTGCGCTACTTCCTTTCTCGAGAGTTGCAGCAGCATGGCCAGCTTCGTCTTGCTTACGTGGCCTCTCAGGCCAACACTGCTGATGTTTTCACCAAGGCACTTCCGCCTTGTGATCATCAGCGTTTCTGTACTGTGTTAGGCCTTGTACCTACTGTGCCTCACTTGTTGACTGCTTGACTCTACTTGTACTGTACTCTATATATTTATACCTGCATGCTAACACTTGCTAGGTTGTGTTCATTGTATTGTTTGCTTTCCTTTATATAATTCTGCATGTGAACTGGCCTTGTGGCCCTTTGCTTGTGCTCAGACTGCGTGGTGACTTTGTGATCCACCCTGAGCTTGCTTTACCTTCTTGACTGGTCTTGTGACCCCTTGTTCTCCCCCACTTTGCCTATGGGGGTGTGTCAAACTTATATATGCTATAGTCTGTTTAGGCTGTAGTGGGGTAGTTGTTAGAGGGTACAACACTTTGTGTTTCCTACTTGTACCCATCTCATTTCTAGTTTCATTCATTCCTCAATTCTCTCACATGGCTCGCTACGTGGCTCCCAGTAGGCACCGAAAGGTGCACTGGGATGCTGCGAAGAGGGTACTGCGTTACCTGTGCAGTACGTCGGGCATGGGGCTTGTGCTTGGAGGACGGGGTCCAGTTGTCCTCACTGGTCACGCAGACGCTTCCTGGGTTCACGACTCAGCTACGCAGCGGTCGTCGCAGGGTTACACCTTCAGCCTTGGGTCCAGCTCGGTTTCTTGGCGGTCTACCCGCTCGTCCTCAGTTCTCAGCTCCAGCTGTGAGGATGAGATCTATGCCAGAGCCATTGCTGCTCAGGAGCTACGCTGGCTCACCTACTTACTGACCGACTTGGGAGAGCAGCCTCGTTCGCCTCCAGTCCTGTACGTAGACAACAAGGCCATGATAGCCTTGTGTCAGGAGCACAGACTGGAGCACAGAACGAAGCACATCGCTCTGCGATACTTCCTTGCTCGAGAGTTGTTGCAGCGTGGTCAGCTTCGTCTAGCGTACGTGGCCACTCGGGCCAACACTGCTGATGTCTTCACCAAGGCACTTCCGCCTGGTGATCATCAGCGCTTTGTTACTGTGTTAGGCCTTGTGCCTACTTTGCCTCACTTACTTACTGCCTGACTCTGCCTGTACTGTGATCTATCTATATACCTGCATGCTTGCACTTGCTAGGGTATGATCACTGTATTATTTGTTCTCTTTATATAACTCTGCATGTGAACTGGCCTTGTGGCCCTTTGCTTGTGCCCGGACTGTGTGGTGACTTTGTGATCCACCCATAGCTTGCTTTGCTTTGCTTCTTCTCTTGACTGGTCTTGTGACCATTGCTTGCTCTGGCTTTCCCCCACTTCGCCTATGGGGGTGTGTCAAACATATGTGTTTATGCGTTTACAGTTGTCTATGCTATATTGGGTTTAGCCTTAGGGGGTACACAACTTCTCTCGACATTGTACTTGTACCCTTCCTTCCTTCCTAGTTAATCATTCTCGTCATTCTCGCTACTATCTAACAGTCTCCACTCTTCCTCCTCGTGCTGGTCTGTCTTGGCCTGACCCTCCTGTTATGAAAGTTCGATCTAGTTGTGCCTTTTTTTTTTGTTAAGTAACTCGTTAGCATAGCGTTGGTTCTCTTAAGGGCTCTTTTTATGTGCCTGTTTCACGTAGTGCTGAATCCGTGGTAGCAATCTTGTCTTGTTTTCACAGAGCAAGTCCACTTTTTTTTTTTTTTTTTTTTTACGTGTCAAACTCCATCGATTCCGCCTTCAGCGCTGGAACAACCCGACATTTCGCGAGGACCTCTACTGATGCTGCGCGTTTCCGGTGTGGGACAGTCTTGAACACTGGTGGTTCTTTAGGACACCTTTTTTTCCAGGTATCTATCAGTAGCAATCATTTGTACTCAATATTAAGGTAGTTGGTTTGCTGTGTTACAGTCGTTTCCGCTAACGCATTGCAACAAATTCACGTTGAAGTGTTGTTTGAAATTCTGAACCTTTTTTTCAATTGAATCCGTGCAATAAGAACGATCGTTTGATCTCGGACCGATTGTGCCTTTTGTCTACTAGCTTCACATTTCAGTGCAATGACATCGCCGTCTCATTTTTTCCTGTTGCAGGATTTCGCCATTCTGTCGGTGAGACGACCTGCATCACCACGAACCTCTTCCTGCTTCTCTGGCCGCTGTGTTCTGCTTCAATGCCATCTTCGCTGCAGCTGTCAATACTAGTCGGCCCGTGTTGTGATCTCTAGGAGCGAGGGCTTGAACTTACTGTATTTGTACTCTTTATAAAGAGTTTATTGCACCAGAGTTCGAATGGCTTCTCTGCAAGGGAGGTACAAATGTGACAATCGGTGCTGTATCACCACATTCAGGACCCCCGTTGAGAAGGCACTACATGTACGCAGCGGCAAGCATGGCTTTGGCCCTCCACCTGGCGGTTCAACAAGTGGTGTAGGTGAGGCAAACACCACCAATGCAGAGCACAGGGATCAGATTATGGACGCTGTTCATGAATTGGAGACCCACAGCCGAAAACGAAGGGCTGCAGCACGAGAGGATCGCGAGAGCAGACCCCTACCGCATCCTGACAGCGCGCAACCGAACGAAGATACAACGGGATACGATTTCTCGCCACGTGCCAACACAACGCATGTCGATCTTGACTTCCGCATATTCAAGTTCTGCAAAAATGCTGCGGGAGGAGCTGGACTTTCTAGAGATGACACGAGGGAGCTTCTTGACGTTGTGGTGCAAGCCATAAAGAATCCGGAGAGAGTGAATCTCAGGTCTCTTGTAGATTTTGACCAGTACGAGAAGGCAAAAACAGCGGAGGTGGACTTGTCTGAGTTTGAGAAAACAGATTTGAGTAAACCGGGCGATTTGAAAGCAGTGAACCTGTAAGTTCGGCCATCAATGTCTTGTGTAAGAGGATTGTACCAGAACCCTGCAAATGCAGATGGTTTTGTGGTTCAGCCGGATCTTGAACGACTGCGGCGTCGTATAATTTACAAGGGGCCAGAAACAGGAACTTGGTGGCGCTCCGTACAGAGAAAGCTTGGAAAAGAAGGGGTGGTTGCAGCTGTGATAATCTACTCCGACGAAACTACGCTTACGACGGATGGTGGTGTCGTAGGGTGGCCCGTGTACATATCGCTTGCGAACATTTCATCGGCAAACCACTGGAGATCGCACGGCCACCGACTATGTGCTTTGTTGCCCGCAATTGACAGTCAAACGTTCTCAAGGGCAAATGATACGCGGAGGCGGCACGAGGTGTTTCATGAGGCGTTGCGTCTCATACTCGAAGAGCAGAAGAAAGTAGAGAAAACGTAAGTGTGTGTGGATTTTTGCGTCTCATACTCGAAGGGCATTCTCTGCCCCCTCCTTCTCCGCTTCCCACCTGCTCTGCTCCCTTTGATCTGCCTCCCCCCTTCCTGCCCTGCCCTCCCCTGCCCTCCCATGTTCTGTCTTAATGTGCTCCTCCCTCCCTGCTCTGCCCTCCCGTGCCTTGCAGTGCTCTATCTTACTGTTTTTCGCCCTCCATGCTCTGCCCTCCCCTGCCCTCTCGTGCCTTGTCTTACTGCGCGTCGCCTCCTTGCTTTGCCAGCCTTGCGCTGCCCTCCCCTGCACTGTCCTCCCCTGATATGCCTTCCTCTGCTACCCTCCCTTGATCTGCCCTCCCATGCGATGCCCTCCATTGCTCTGCCCTCCTCTGATCTGCCCGCCCATACTATGACTTCAATTGCTCTGGCCTCCTCTGATCTGCCCTCCCATACTATGACTTCAATTGCTCTGGCCTCCCCTGCTCTGCCTTCCCCTGGTTTGCCCTCCCTTGCTCTGCCTTCCCCTGCTCTGCCATCCCCTTCTCTGTCCTTCCCTTATCTGCTCTCCCCTAATCTGCCCTCCCGTGCTCTACCCTCCCCTGCTCTGCCTTCCCTTGCTCTGCCCTCACCTGCTCTGCCATCCCCTGCTTTGTCCTCCCCTGATCAGCCCTCCTCTGCTCTGACCTCCCCTGCTCTGCCATCCCCTGCTCTGCCCTCACCTGCTCTGCCAGGCCCTGCTCTTCCTCCCCTGATCTGCCCTCCCCTGATCTGCCTTCCCCTGATCAGCCCTCCATTGCTCTGCCCTCCCCTGCTCTGTCCTCCCATGATGTTCCCTCACCTGCTCTGTCCTCACCTGCCCTAACATCCCCTGCTCTTCCTCCCCTGATCTGCCCTCCCCTAATCTGCCCTCCCCTGCTCTGCCTTCCCCTAATCTGCCCTTCCCTGATCTGCCCTCCTCTGATCTGCCCTCCCCTTCTCTGCCCTCCCCTAATCTGCACTCCCCTGATCTGCCCTCCTCTGATCTGCCCTCCCCTGATCTGCCCTCCCCTAATCTGCCCTCCCCTGCTCTACCCTCCCCTGATCTGCCCTCCCCTGATCTGCCCTCCTCTGGTCTGCCCTCCCTTGCTCTGCCCTCCCCTAATTTGCCCTCCCCTGATCTGCCCTTCCTTGATCAGCCCTCCCCTGCTATGTCCTCCCCTGCTTAGCCCTCCACTTTGCTTCACAATTATCCCTCTTGACCGTCTATTGACTCCCCAATTACACGACGTGTTTTTGTTTCCACAGAGGCGAGAGGATGAAGGATCCATATGGGATTGATCGGTGGGTCTTCCCAGTTACATATGCCTACGTTGGCGACTATCCCGAGCAGTGTAAGGTCGCAGGAACGAAAACTGGTCAGAAGATTGCGTTTCCATGTCCGAAGTGTACAGTGTCAAATGAGAAGCTCAACGACATGACACAGACATTACAGTACAGGACCGAGGAGGGACAGAAACGAATAGTTGACGAAATAATGAGCGCGCCGTCGAAAACTAGAAGGTCGGATTTGGAGATTGAGCATAGCACGCATGGCGTCGAGTGTGCGTTTTGGGGCTTTCGTTTCAAGGATGAGGAGTTCGGGAATCCATATAGAGCTCTGATGGTGGATCTCATGCACATGAGTAGTCTAGGAGTATACAAGCACATATTAGGATGTCTGAAGCAGAAGTTGTCGAACGATGTATTGACGAGGCTGGACAGCGATCTAGCACATATTACAGAGTACAGTCGACAGTCCTTCTTTCAGATACCTGCACGCACTGACGGATACTTCAGTGGTAACAGCACCTTCTATGCGTTCCAGCATAAGGCAGTCATGCAAGTACTGCCTGTTCTTTTAATGCGGCAAAGGGTCACCACGAAGATCGTGAAGACGGTGGAGCTGTTCTGTCAGTGGCACGCGAGTGCGTGGCACCGCGCGTACCATACGGAGGGCACGCTGAATGATCTTGACAAAATGGCTCAAAAGTGAGTTTTGGGAATTGTAGGATTGTGGGGGTTGGCTACCTAGACAATGTGAGAGGTTTCTTTTGAATCGATTACTCCGTTTTTTTTTTCTCTCTGGTTTCTTTCTCCTCAACTCTTGGTGGCAGTTCATGCATACGTACATTGTCGTCCGCTATCAATGTGCGCACATTATACCCTTCCCCATTAGGGTCATGTATCTTCATTTGTTTTTTTTGCGCGCAGAGTCGTACCACAATTGATGGAACATTTTGGGGTCGCGCAGAGCTCTGAGTTCAACATTCCTAAGGTGCATGCCATGCTACATGTGTCCGATGACATTCGTCGTGCGGGCGTACCTGTGCATTATTGCACCGACCTGTATGAGCACGTGCACATCGCACTCGTCAAACGGCCATACCGTAGGTCTAACAAGCGAAACGCGGAGGCGTCAATCACACGCCGGTGCTTGACAACAGAACTTGTCGAGGCAATGGCTGCCAACGATGGTCCGGTGGAAGACAAGGAAGCACGGACGGTGGCAATGAAACAGGTTAGTACGTTACAGGGCTGCAAATTCGGCTACTTTGTCCTGTCTTTCAAGTGCCCTCCTTAACCGTGCCCTCCCTCCTATGCTGTCCCCTGCTCTGCCCTCCCCTAATCTGCCCTCCCCTGATCTGCCCTCCTCTGATCTGCCCTCCCCTGCTCTGCCCTCCCCTGCTCTGTCCTCCCCTGATCTGCCTTCCCTTGATCAGCCCTCCTGTGCTCTGCCCTGCCCTCGCCACATTCCACTCCTCTGCCTACCGGTCACTCGCTCTCAGCTCCACCTTCGGACGAGTCCGTAGAGCCAAGTGGCCCGTATCTAGAGCTTGTGGGCTGCCTCATGTACCTGATGACCTGCACTCGACCTGACCTTGCCTACCCTCTTAGCATTCTAGCACGCTATGTCGCTCCTGGTAGACACAGGAAGGAGCACATGGATGCAGCTAAGAGGGTGTTGCGCTACTTGTGCAGTACGTCGGGCATGGGGCTCGTGCTTGGAGGACGGGCTCGAGTTGTCCTCACTGGTCACGCAGACGCTTCCTGGGCTGACGACTTGACTATGCAGCGGTCGTCACAGGGTTACACCTTCAGCCTTGGCTCCGGCTCTGTCTCTTGGCGGTCTACCCGCTCATCTTCTGTTCTCAACTCCAATTGTGAGGCTGAGATCTACGCAGGGGCCATGGCTGCACAGGAGTTACGCTGGCTCACCTACCTGCTGACCGACGTGGGAGAGCCGCCTCGTTCTCCTCCAGTGCTGTACGTTGACAACAAGGCCATGATTGCCTTGTGTCAGGAGCACAGACTGGAGCACAGAATGAAGCACATCGCTCTGCGCTACTTCCTTGCTAGAGAGTTGCAGCAGCGTGGTCAGCTTTGTCTTGCTTACGTGGCCTCTCGGGCCAACACTGCTGATGTTTTCACCAAGGCTTGTGATCATAAGCGTTTTTGTACTGTTCTAGGCCTTGTACCTACTGTGCCTCACTTGCTTACTTCTTGATTCTGCTTGTACTGTGATCTCTATACATATACCTGCATGCTTACACTTGCTAGGTTGTGTTCACTGTATTGCTTGTTCTCCTTTATATAACTTTGCATGTGAACTGGCCTTGTGGCCATTTGCTTTTGCTCAGAATGCGTGGTGACGTCGTGATCCACCCTGAGCTTGCTTTGCCTTTCTTGACTGGTCTTGTGACCTCTTGTTCTCCCCCACTTTGCCTATGGGGGTGTGTCAAACTTATATGCTATAGTCTGTCTAGGCTGTAGTGGGGTAGTTCATATAGGGTACAACACTTTTAGGTTTCCTACTTGTACCCACCTGCTTGCTAGTTCAGTCATTCCTTCCTTCATTATTCTGACACTCTATCCTTCCCTCATCCACAGTCCCCACTCCCAAGCCCCTCCAGGTTCTCTTTGTGATTTGAATCTGAAGTTTGAATTTTCGAACTTCGAACTCCTCCCTGTTGTCCACTGCCGCACCAAATTACAACCCCCGATGTGTTCACCTTCGATGTAGTTCGTGCGGTACGAGTGAGTCGCACCGCCTGCAGTGCAACCACAGTGAAGGTGAGTTCATGTTTCCATTCACGACTCGACCCTATAGCTTGCTATAAAACTCCGTTCTCCATACTGTCTTGCTATCATATCGCCACTCTCTAAATCCCTAGTATTTAGTGACTGTTGGTACTTCACCATGTGTCGTGTTGGTGGAATTGTAGTCCCACCCTCCATGCAGATTGCTTGTCCTGCACGCCCTTCACTGCCGCATAACAGCAAGTCTAACCACAAGTTCTTGGCGCCAACAGGTATTTCGTGTAGTTCTTAGCGTTTTCATGTTTTGTCATTATGCATCTACGTGTAACTAACAATTCTCTCATTTTGTTGTTTCAGAAGGCAATGGCGAACTCCCCGCCCGTGGTGTTACGGGCGCTCGTACCAAACGAGGAACCAAGCGTCCAGGAGAGTACACTGGTGCTGCGCGTGGAACACATGCGGCGTCGATCACGACTGCAGCTGTCGTGCCTTCAGCTGGCGCGAGCCCGTCGACCGTGGCTGCAGCTGTCGACGAAGCTGCTGCTCAACCGACGGTTCATGATGTTGCCGCTGTAGACGCCACAGAAGAGAACGAGGAACCTTTCGCGGACATCCTGGCTGGCCAACAGGAGGAAACCGCAATCGTTGGTGAGGAACCATGTCCATTGTATTTCCTCATGTTCCCCCCTTGTTTTAGTGAACTAACTTGCTGCATTGCTTGTCTCTCAGGTAACACTGTGTATGACCATACGCTGAGGATGAACGGCGTTAATCCGTCACCTGATGCTGGAGTAATGCATGAGGAAGCACAGGAAAACCCGGTCAATGGCGACCTTCGGCTGAAGGCCTCAAGGCTTGAAGAAGATATAAAGGGTATCACGGAAGTGTGCAAGGCAAAGGACGGTCAGCTCTCGAAGGCTCTCAGGATCGCAAGCTCCCTTGCAGATGCTGTTATCCTGCGTCAACCTCGATTTTCAGGTAAGTACGCTCTTATTTCACTACTTACAGTGTAATATTAGCCCTTCTCATTACATTGCCTCTCTTTGTGCAGAGGATGATGTCGGATACTGTGGAGGAGCTTCTTTTGGATCCGAAGCACATGAACCTGTCGCCTTCCAGGAGTGACCTCACGGCCAGGCTTATTGGTAAGCCTTTATTTTGCATACCATGTTCATTGCTTCTCTCAGTTGCTCACTCTCCCTTTCCCGCCCGATTGCAGTGAATGCAGGTTTCACTGAGGGAAGTGATGAAGCCGTTAGGCTGGTAGCCGTGATGAAAGACAAAGACATCATCACCAAAACTGAGCGGCGTTTCAACAACCGCATTGGGAAGGTGTACCATGGCTGCAGGCAGTCGCTTAGGAAGCCGCCAACTAAGCTTCTGATTGCTGTCCGTGTGGGCTGCCGCATTCGGTTTGATGAGCCCGACGACTATGCAACCCGCTGCCACCTTTACGTGGAAGCCGATTCTACTAGTAAGTGTCTATTTGTTAACCATTTCGTATTATTATCACCATGTGCTAATCTTCCTACGTTTCTATTGCAGTGCTAAAGGGCATTGGCTGGCATGTCCTTAACGGCCATCCTTTTTCAAGCAGCGCCTTCATCGCCTGATTTTAGCAGTGGTAAGTTCGTTTCATGTTCTTATGTGTGTATCCCCTTACATTTGTATATCTGACGACTTACTACTTCCAACATTGGCAGGTTCGTTTCAGGCTCCGCTATCCCACATGCGGGAAGGTTAAGCTGGATCGTTCTGGTGATCCGGAAGCAACTAGCAGGCAAGCCCGCATTGTGCAGCGGTGGAGTAACAGCCACGGGGAGCAAATGGGGGAGTATATAGCTATTGGCTCCCTCTGCTTGGCAGGTTGGGATACCATCCCTCAGGATGTGTTGGATGCTGATCTCCTAGGGGACAAAGGTGGTGATGAGGAGTTTGAGGAGGAGGAGGTGGTGGATGAGGCGTTTGAGGATGATGATATTAGACATGTCCTGTTGTTTTGTGTGTTGCTGTTTTGTTTTGTAGGTGCTACTTGGTAGTTTGTAGTAATTCTGTCCAATAGCTAATTACTAATATGTTTTGCTCTAAATGCCTGGTTACGGGCCTAATTATTAATTATCTAATTTTTACTACTGTTTTCTGCAATTTCTTGTTATGAGTACCTGTTTTTCACCGAAACAAATCTACAGTGTACATGTAACAGTAACCGGTGTAACCCGTCACTGCGCGTTACTGCGATGTAATCACAATGGCTATAGTGTGCAACCGGTTGGTTACTGTAGAGCGTAACGTGTAATAGTTTCAGATGTAACCTCCGACATGTTACATCGCGTTTCTGCGATGTAACAGTGACTGTTTTGTTGTGCAGGTTTCGTAATCAAGTCAATTGTATGACTTCGCAGTGCATGCGACGCGCAGGGGCGGGACGCGTTGAAGTATGAGGGGCCGAGTTTCGACACGTGTGGGGGGCACCCGTCTCCCTTCGGCCAGTACCACTACCACGTCGCGCCTGGCGTGGCCAACCCCTCTGCCATCTCCACCTCTCGCACCACCGACTTCCAGCTCTGCTCGTGCGTTAATCCTCATGCCTGCTCCCGTACCAGTCCATGCCTCCACTCCATGCCTGCTCCCGTACCAGTCCATGCCTCCACTCCATGCCTGCTCCCGTACCACTCCATGCCTCCACTCCATGCCTCCACTCCATGCCTCCATGCGTCCATGCCTGCCCCTCTGCCAGTCGGACACTGCTGCCAGTTATTCTGCACATTTCCTCACTGCAACTCACTTGCTACTCCCTCCACTCCTTCTTCCATGCTGAACCCTTCTTCGAGCGAACGTTTCTGTCATCCCGCACTGCCCCATGCCATGCATAACCATGCCATCTCCATGCATTCTCCTCATGCACCATGCCACGCACCAAGTTATACCATGTGCCATGCAGCATCCCTTGCATCCCACCCACTCAACCCACCCCTTCTTCCCTCTTCCCTTTCCGCACCCATCGCAGCGCCTCCTTCTGGCAGGACACCCCGGGCGAGCACTCCCCACTGGTGGGCTTCCTGGCGGACGGCATTCCCCTCTACGGCCCGCGCGGAGCAGGGGGAGAGCTGCCCTTGGGGGTGGACGAGTGCGGGGGGCACGTAGGAGATGGCAGTGCGGGCGAGCCGGCGTTCTACCACTACCACGTCAGCAGCACCGCGCCCTACACCGTGGCGTGCCTCAAGGGCTGCGTCTCCTCCTCTGACTGGGGCACCCTCGGCTCTGCTTCCTGCACCCAGGCCACCAGTGAGTGGGGGGGGATTGGAGTGGCGAGGGGTGTGAGTGGCAAGAGCTGTGAGCGTTTCCAAACAGTACCTTGTCACCCATGTGCTGCTTTCTTTACCCCTGAACCTTACCTCGTTTCTTCCCCTCTACTCTCTTGTCCTCCCCTCTGCTCTCTCTGCCCTCCTCTCCTCTGCTCTGCTCTGCTCTGCTCTCTTCTCCTCTCCTCTCTCTCTCCTCGTCTGCTCATCCTTCCCCTTCCCCCCCAAAACCCCCCACCACGTCTCCCCACGCCAGAGCAATACGACTACTCATCCCTGGCAGCAGTGCAAGCAGCATAGCCCTACTCCCATCACCGCCCCACTCACTGTCTCCTACGTGTGACGGCACTGCAAGTCGGGCACGTGGGAGGCGGATTAGGGTTGCATGTTGTCACATGATGAAGGGAAATTTGCTGGCATGCCTTAGGGTGCGTTCCTGCCTCGTATCAAGTCACCCTGCGTCAGTGACTGTGTTTATTAAGTCCCACATGCGGTGGTTGATGCGAGGTAGGAACGTAGCCCGCGTTACGGTAGTAGCTGATTCTTGGTGGTGCTTTGTGATTGCTGTTTGTCAAACATATGCTGATATGTTATAGTTTAGGTAGGCTTTAGTGGGGTACTCACTGTGGGGTACAACCCCTTAGGTTTTTCCTTTTGTACCAATCTCTCGATAGTCCAAGCCCACCCTTGCCTAAGAGTTTAACACTGTTTTGTTGATAAGCATAGTTTGCTGCAACATTACGATTACTATTATGAGATCCCCATTACACGAATCAAACCAGTCCTGTGCATCGATCCACCATCCTTCCTTTCATGCGTAAGAGCAATACTCCTGGCCATTGCTCAATTGCTCCATTGGCCATTTCCAGGCCACCAGCTCAACCCCTCACAAATATACGCACCCACAACCTCAACAACCCCCACCCCACCCACATCCACTGCCCATCCCCCCTCACACAAATCCTAGCAAGAAGTTCTAAACATGAAATGCTTTTAGAAAAATATACCGTCATCACCCGGATATAAGACAGTGTTGAATAGTAGACAGGGGTTGTCTATTATACGGGTGTCTCTTATAAACGGGGTAGCCTCATTATAAGACACCTATTTGTGTGTAGGGGCAAATGGCAAATGTATAACGAGGAAGTATCTTCTAAACGGATTTTTGTCCATTTATAAGACTGATTTTTTTAATGTATGAGATAAGACATACATGTCTTATATCCGGGCGATGACGGTATCAGCAGGCAACTGCCAACGAGAACACCACCACCACCGACCAGTGGTCGCAAGTGACCCACCACACCACAGGTACCTGGTGCTGCCCCGCCTGCTGCACTGCATGCTCGAACGCCAGGCGCCATGCCGTGCCACTCCACCCCCCTTGTCGCTGCTTAAGGCACCATCTGCTGCACGGGCAGGCACTGTCAAAACATGTTTATATAATGTTAGTGATGTTAGGCTGTAGTAGGTTACTCCCTATAGGGTACAACCCTTTGTTAGGGTTGCTACTTGTACCACTCATCCTGCTTTAGTAAATCATTCCTGTTTCCATATTCTAACATGGTATCAGAGCAGGTACGTTCCTTAGGGCCCACCGAACGTTCCGCCCTGCCCGGACTTGAAACTTTTTTTTCATGCCCTGCTGCCTAGCGCCAGCGCGCGCCTTACTGCCCTGCCCGCGTGCGCCCAGTTGCCCTGCTACTGAGCGCCCTGCTGCCCTGCCTGAGCGCCGCCCTGTTCGCGCGCGCTCTGCTTGCAGCTGCGCCGCCCTGCCTGCCCGCGCGCTCTGCCAGCGCGCCCTGCTGCCCAGCACGCCAGCGCGCCCCGCTGCCCAGCGCGCCAACACGCCCCGCTGTCCAACGCGCCAGCGTGCCCTGCTGCCCAACGCGCCAGCGCGCCCCGCTGCCCAGCGCGCCAGCGCGCCCCGCTGCCCAACGCGCCAGCGCGCCCCGCTTCCCAGCGCGCCCCGCTGCCCAGCGCGCCAGCGCGCCCCGCTGCCCAACGCGCCAGTGCGCCCTGCTGCCCAGCGCGCTAGCGCGCCCTGCTGCCCAGCGCCCAGCGCGCCCTGCTAAACCCTAATAATAATAATAATAATAAAAAAAAAAAAACCCTACGTGCTGCTGCCCTAGGAGCTACTGCGTGGTACTGCCCTAGGTGCTGCCGCCTGCTGCTGCCGCCCTAGGTGCTACCGCCTCCTGCTGCCGCCCTAGGTGCTGCTGCCACCCGAGTGCGCTGCCCCGCGCTGCCCTACCCCGCGTTGGTGCCGCCTTGCCCCGAGTGCTGCTACGCTGCTACTGCCGCCTATGCTACTGCTGCTACGCAGCTGCTGCTATTAGCTGCCACTGCCTGCCATGGCCACTACCACTGTCCAATGTCAGCGGCAGCCGAGTGTGCAGGAGTCTCTCTCGCCGCAGCAGATTCGCGAGTGGGCTATCTGGTGGGGTAGCCCCGGTGGCGGAGCTAGCTGTGCTAGTGCTGGAGCTGCTGGTGCTGGCGGTCCTTGTACTCGTCGGCGGGAGCCGCTCTCGTCGCAGCAGCTTCGCAAGAGGGCTGTCCGGTGGGGCAGCCCCGGTGGCGGAGCCTGGTGTGCTACTACCGGGGATCCCTATGAGTCTACTCCTGCTGGTGGTGCCGCTGGTAGACGCGGAGGTTCTGGGGGTGGACAGCAGCGGCAGCAGCGTGGCATGCACTCCCGTCTCCTTGTGTCAGATCTACCCAGGTCCCTGCCCCCGCTCCCGAGGTCGCTTGCACCGCCCTGCCTTCCCTGCGTCGAGGGGCAGCAGCAGGCCGCTCCTCACTCCTCCTCGTTTCCTCCTACCACTGCTCCTCTGCAGACCCTGCACATGGACGTGTGGGGCCCCACCCGCGTCACTGGACAGGGTGGCGAGCGCTACTTTCTGCTGGTTGTCGACGACTACATGCGCTACACCACGGTCTTCGCCTTGCAGAGCAAGGCGGATGTCCGCGGTGTCTTGATCCGCTGGATCCGCGCTGTCCGTCTCCAGCTTTACGCTCGGTTCCAGCAGGACCTCCTTGTCCCGCGGCTGCACTCTGATCGAGGTGGTGAGTTTTGCTCCCACCTCCTTGAGGACTTTTGTGGTGCTGAGGGCATCGTCCAGTCGTAAACGCTTTCGGCCTCTCCACAACAAAATGGGATTACCGAGTGCCGCATTGGTCTTGTCATGGAGGTTGCTCGCACCTCCATGTTCCATGCGGCTGCTCCCCATTTTCTGTGGCCGTTTGCGGTCCGATACGCTGCTGAGCAGCTCAACCTCTGGCCCCGTGTCTCCCACCTGGAGACCTCCCCCACTTTGTGGTGGGCGGGCGAGGTTGGTAATGCATTGGCATTTCGGGTCTGGGGTTCCCTCTCTCTTGTCCGCGATTTGCCTGCGGGCAAGCTCTCTCCACGCACTCTTCGGTGCGTGTTCCTTGGCTTTCCCACCGATGCACCGCCCTGGCAGTTTTACCACCCGGGCTCTCATTGTGTGCTGTCCTCCCGCGACGTCACCTTTGACGAGTCCGTCTGCTTCTACCGTCTTCACCCCCACCGCAGTTCCCCGGTACCCCTCCTGCCTCTCTCCCTCGTGGACGACCCCCCCCCCCCCCCCGGTAGCCCCCCTCCCTCCTCCCGGTCCCGCTCCCTCAGGTGTGTCTCATGTAGACCCACCCCCCTTGGTTGAGCCTTTGGAGGTCTCCTCAAACACCTCTGGCCCAGCTGAGGGGGGTGACCCGACTCCTGCTGCCACTGTGACCCCTCGCCGCTCTGCATGCTTGGCGGTCCCTCCTGGGTTTCAACCTCGACCGTCTTCACCGCCGCTGCAGCCTGTCGCTGTGGACTCTGGTGCTGCAGGAGGTGGTACCACTGGAGGTGCTGGTTCTGGGGGTGCTGAGTGTCCTCTGGGTACATGAGGTACTGGAGGTACGAGTGCTGGTGGTCCCGCTATGAGTCGGCAGGAGGCTCTCTCGCCGGAGCGGCTTCGCGAGTGGGCTGTCCAGTGGGGCAGCCCTGGTGGTGGAGCTAGCCGTCTTAGAGCGGGAGGTGCTGGGACTGCTGGAGTTGGAGGTACTGGCACTACTGGAGCTGGAGGGTCTGCTACTGGTGGTACTGGGGTTGCTCGTGCTGGTAGCACTAGTGCACGTCGGCAGGAGACTCTCTCGCCAGAGCGGCTTCGCGAGTGGGCTGTACAGTGGGGCAGCCTTGGTGGTGGAGCTAGCCGTGCTCGCTCTCCTAGAGCTGGAGGTACTGGAGGTGCTGAAATACCTGT